AAATAAATTCAGGTCAGAAAGGGTTAATTTAAATAATAGTTTTAGCAATTTAAGGATATTCGAACTCTCAGCCAATCTCTATCTTAATTTTCATTTAAATTATTTTATTTTATAATACTTTGTTTTAAATTATTTTATTTAGATAAATTATTTTATTTAGATAAATTATTTGAATTATTTTTTATTTAAATTACGATAATTTTTGATAGATTATTTCATTCAGAAGAAACATGAAATCACCTCGTTGTGACGTTTCGACCTTGACTAGTCGCTGAAGCGTCAGGAATCAAGTCAGACGTTGGTCCGCTGCAGTGCAGTTTATCGTCGAAGTAACGTCTTCGCAGACATTTGAAGTTCTCCTCGTCTTAATTTTTATTGGAAGCATCTGGTTAATTTTTAGACGAAGTCGTGTGGCGACTCGGCTGTGTGGTAAAGCGAGACGTTCGAGTCGTTAGGTATAGATTCTAATACGTAAAGATAGATTCGCCGGTGAGGGGTGATCGTGTATATTTAGAAAAGTGCTCGGCTTGCCAGAACCAAGAGAGACTCGCATCTTGACGCTTCCCGCGAGATTTCTCCCTTGGCGATTTCTCTCTTCTCATTCTTCTTCCCCTGCTTCTGCTTCTTAGGTGCTCCATCTTACGCGAGCTGCTTAACAAGAATGACGTGTTAACACTTTCCATATGAGCACAAAACGTGTTGTTGCTTAATAATACGCTACTCTTCAACGAATTGTCTCGAAACAGAAAGCTTGAGAAGCGCCGAATGTCAGATCGAGAAACTTTATATATTTTATCTTGTTAGAAGAACACATATAGCATATCATGAGCGCATCAAATCATTAAATCGATCAAGAGACGCTGCAAAAACGTCACGCGTTGGTCATTCTTGTCAATTCGAAGAAACGAAATTTGAAAATGTTTACTTTATTAAAAACCGCATATTCCATTCTACATTTGTGATTCTAAATTTAAGCGGTCTTCTTTTATAATTTCCGGCGTGCGCTTAGGAAGATCTCCGTAAAAAAAGACTTCATAAATAACGATAGTTGGTATGTTTTGACAGACGGAATGATCGCCGCGCCGCTTTCGCGGTCTAAATTATACGGCAAGCTTAAGACAGGCATTTTTTCGTGACGTGGCTTTTTCGAGACCGCGATATATCAAGTTTAATGCAGTCAGCGGGGGTGATACATGGCTCTGTTCCCGTCCTACGATAAGGTTGATGGCGCCGCAAAGAGAAAGACAGGTAACTTAATTACATCGTTGCTCAAGAGGCTCGTTGTAACGCTTTACGGATGGCTTGAGGAAGTACGGGATGCATAGTCATCTCACGGCTACTTAGCGCTGAGTTATTGCCATAACGTCTGCTTGTCTACTCCGTCGGGAGAAATTGTTGTTCCAAATTTGTCGCTAAATATGTTGCTCTATATGTCTCTTTCTCTCTTTCTCTCGTTTTTTAGTTCAAATACTAGTTAGCACTCGGCTCTCAAAGGCCTTTGACTTAGAGGGTTTTAATTGTGGATCTAAGAGCTTTTAGCTTCACTTTTTTCTCTCTCTTTTTCTTTTAATATAAGAAAATTGTCCCTCGAAGAAGACAAGCAGTCGACGCGTGTCTTTCCGTCCGTGTTCATATATAATTCATACGATAATAAAGTGCTCGCACATGCGCGCATTTTTGGCGGACGGTATGAATATCCCGTTTCTCTTAAATCTGCTACAAAACTTGTATATACGTCGATCGTGAATTTTGAATAATCGCGTGTACCCTATTTGCTCGTTCTGTTGTTTCTATTTGACCTCGTGCTCTGAGTGACAATTACATTCAGTTAAACATCTAAAGTAAACTGACGATCATTCGCAATGAACAACAGACGGGTTGTTTTGATCGTGAGACGCCGATTAATCGTTAATCCTCGATATTTTTCCCGACGGAAAATTAAGCCCGGGCATTTGTCACAGAATGTCTCAGTGAAATTAAGAAGTGGGCGATGCTGTGCAAATTTCGAATGCTCAGACGAGACGGGTTGAAGCAGCATATTTCCATATTACGAGTTCGAATTTTCGCTTGCTCCCGAAATAAGTTGCTTATAATTTGCGCCACTAAATATGACGGTGTTGACAGGCTAAAAGCGCTTCGGTTTCGCAATACCGTGAACGAGGTCCCATCATCTATCTGTTACATGTTGATTTTCGCACGTGTCTCTACGAGGGATGACGCGAAGAGGGGTGACTCGACCGACATGTGCGGCCTATTTTTATGTTTTGTCAGATACGAGAGAAGAGGGTGTTTTCGTGTGTAATGCGCCGCGGTATCACCCGGCGTTGTCAAATTTCATCACTTTTGCACGCCAACGTGAGGGATTCCATTCTGGTGACTTCTCGGCAGTCATTTAGTCTACTGTCGATAGCGCGGGTTCATTTTTAGATTCGTGTTGCCGACGGCCGCGTCTATATGACAAATATGCCAGTGACGAAAAATAGAACGTGCAATAACACCGCGAGCCGCGTCAATACAACCGCTAGGTGTAAAGCGCCGCGTGTGCACAAGCGCAATATCGAAAAAGAAATATACAAGATTCGATATATAAATAATCTCGAGCATTTACGAGCGATTTTGATTATATCGTCTTGAGCACAAAATTGATCTTCGATGTAAGAAAAATTGATAGACATGCATAATCTTGAAAAATCAAAATCCCGAAATGTGAAAAATGGCATGACATTTCGAAAAGTCACAAGCCTGAAAACTGAATATTGGGGCAATTTCCCAAAATATAACTTTCCCGAAATATCGGAAATATGCAATTATCCCAAAAAGTCACAATCCTTACAAATGAATATCGGGGCAATCTCTCAAAATATTAGAAGAAGCTATAACTTTGCGAGAAAACTTCATTTTCTTTCAATATTTCGAGAGATTGCCCCGATATTCATTTGTAAGGATTGTGATTTTTTGGGATGTTGTCCTACTTTATGAATTATGAATTATTATAATTAACTTTTTGCGGGAATATATATGTCCACCAAAAAAATTGAAATCTTATTACGTATAACTGTGCACACTATTACGCAGACACAGTTTAACAACATCTTATCCCTTTCATGATAATGCTTGCCCGACGTTCGTCTGCCTCCCAATTATATATATAAGAAAAGAAATTCGTAGTTCCCGAGGAACTCAGGACGTAACGCTGTAATAGCGTTACATTCCTATTATTTTCAAATTTTATCATAAAAGCAAACTTTATTGTGTAATGATGCACTATATAAGAATGCCAACGAGTTTCGATAGTATTCACAGCAAATTACGAAAAAAGTTGTTATAATAAATGTTTTTCCGTAGCCTGTACTGGGTGTGGACATCTGTCAACCGTTAGTTGCAAATCGCCATGCTCTAACCTTGGGTAATGCGCCAATATCACTGTATCAATGCATGGTATTGTAATGAATCGTATCTTGAATTGCGATAGATAAATATAGAGGATTTTAGTTCAGAAGGATGTAAAGTATTTCTCGTGTCTATCTTTATGAAGAACATGTTCCACTATTCATCGAATATATTATAATCGCAATGAACAACAGACGGGTTGTTTTGATCGTGAGACGCCGATTAATCGTTAATCCTCGATATTTTTCCCGACGGAAAATTAAGCCCGGACATTTGTCACAGAATGTCTCAGTGAAATTAAGGAGTGGGCGATCTTGTAAAAGTTCTGATCATTGTTATTTTATTAAGTTAAAACATGAGTCATTTTACAGACACAGAATCAGGAAATTGCCTGAAAGATGGCAGAAGGTACTGGATAACGATGATGATGATATGCTTTGGTTGAATATGACATGTGCTAGATTTCTTGGAATAACGTCTCACTCACGAGTGAAAATTTACTCAAGGTGACAATGAAAACACACACTGCCACTTGGAATTACAAGAGTGGAAGAGTTTGTTTAATGGAAACTTAGAGTGGATTAAATTAGAATGAATTTATTCCTACGACGATGGAATATATATTAAATATATTCATTACAATTTTAAATAAAAATATTCACTTGACGATTTCAAGTGAGGAACTCGTTCCGTATGAGTGAAAAGTCGATCGTCACTCCACCTTTCGAGTGGGAACTTGACTCGAAGAAATTTAGAGATAAAGAGAGAGAGAGAGAGAGAGAGAGAGAGTGTGTATGTGTGTGTATGTGTGTGCTCCGTTTTTCTCGTTCCTGTTAATAATAGAAATATGACTAACAATCCGGCGAACTTTTGCAAGCCTCTAATCTATTTATATATATGTCATGTGATGATCGAGTCAAGTGTTAGCCGAATGGGAAAAGAACTTTGCATCATGACACAGATGTATTTCAAATTTTACACTTATTCGTTAAATTCACTGTTTATTTGTGAAAGTATTATCTAATCACTCGCGAAGAAAAACAGACAGGAGAGAGAGAGAGAGAGAGAGAGAGAAAGAGAATTCCGAGGGAACAGGGGGCGCATTTGGTATATTGTTGACACATCCGTGAAAGAGAAAAGCTTTCGTAACATGACAAATAACCTGGCATTTGTGACTGCCACTGTTCAATCTCTTCAAATCATGCTTGAAGATGAGCCAACCATCGTAATATTGCAGCAGCGTTTCGGCCGCAGTAAAGCAGCTATTCATTAGGAAACGCCACTATTCACGTGGGAAACCCGGTACTAATGATGTGGTGGTAGTGTCTCACCTGGTCGCGTCGTTATCACTTATCGGACGTGGCCTCGCACGACGGGGATGGTCGGCGACGTCGAGGTCGGGGCGGCGCTCGCGTAGGTGCGTGACTCTGCGTCAGTGGAAGTAAGGTGGAAGGAACACAGAAAAGGATAGAGAGAGAGAGTGAGAAAGAGGTAAAGAGGGAGGGAAGGATGGAGAGAGAGAGAATAGTATTTCGGCGATCAGGTCGCGGTGGTGGTGGTGGTGGCGGTCTCGCGGTGGTGGGTAGACTTCAACCTCGATCCAGCGCGGCGATACTTCGCGCGTTTAGTTGGCGCGCGGGGCCCCGGCGATTGGGACGGCCAATAGAGACACTCCGTGCAAGAAAGGAGAAAGAGAGTAGGGGACAAGAGACTCGGATTGACGGGGAAGAAGAGGAAGAAGACAACGACGAAGGAAGAAGAAAGAGAGTGACGAGAGCGACGACCACACAGAGTGACGACGACCTAGACGAAGAAGACGACGACCGAATCTCAGTTTTTCGCAACTTCCCCCGTTTTCATTTCGGCCATCTCGCGCGAGCCCGTAGATTCCGAGTCGGGTCAACTGAGCCGAGTGTGTGCACCTCTCGTAGTCCGCCTCTTGGGCTCCGGTGAGAAGTGATCCCAAGCGGCTGCTGACCGTTGTCGCGCGGAACTGCCGAGAGAACTCTCCGCCAGGTGCCGGGTTTCTCGGCTCGCACGGACGGCGTCGGGGAAAACGCTCATCCTCCGCTCCTGGATAGCCGGAGACGCGACCTATTCTTCAAGTAAGTCTCTCACGATGATGCGCCGGATAACGCGGCTGAGGCGAGGGCAGCGTGCGCGAGGACTACCGGACGCGATGCGTGTCTCAGTGCGGCTTTCTCCATGCCCTTCGAGTGTCCGAACTCCTCTCCTCCTCTCTCCCACTCTTCACCTTAATAATCGCCTAATGATCGCGTGTGGATCAGTGCCGAAGTGTGTAACAAGTGACGGACTATCTCGGTTTCGCGCACGCTCGCCCACGCGAGTGACTCGTCACGGTAGGTGAAGGGACAAGTGGATTAAGGAGGTATGTCATGTTCCCTCGACATCGTCGATGTCTCTCATCCTTGTAGATCGATTATCGTCCCAAAGATGATTGTCACTCCGTTTAATGACTCGCGAGCAACTGATGTTTGGAATGAAAGCTGTAGGTACAAGTACAAGAGCAGAGTAGCTTCTTCTCCGGGTTCTTTCAATTTTTCACGAACGTCGGTTGTCTCTTCAAACAAGATACTAGCCAGTATTCACACGTAATAAAATTGACTTAACCGATTCGACCAGACACCGTTTTAATCTCAGAGCAACATAAAAGTCACATACCATCTGTATCCACCTATATCCTTTCTCTTGACTCTTCGAAGGTAACTTTGGAGAGATTTCCCACGATATTTTGCGACACCTCAAAACGATTCGATGAGAATTTTCCCCCTGATTATATAATCAAATAGGTGTGTCCGCGGGAACAGATGCGTCGGGTGACGAATGAATGTAAAGACTGCGTGGTCGGAAAGAGAGATCGCGACTATAAAAACAAGTGATGGTAATCAATGATTATCGCGCCGTGTGCATTTTTATATGTAGACCCTTCGTATTTTATAGAAATATGAGGATGTCTCGAGATTCATCTATCCCGCAAACTCCTACTTTCAATATGAACCTTCGTTACAAATTTTCTACACTTTACAAGTTTTAGTCACATTATAAATTTTTAAGCAACGTTAGGTATGTAAATCGCGAGAACAAGACAACCCAGAACGAATATCTGAAAGATATCTTAAAGACATCTAAAAATCGTTCTATTTTTTCAGATGTCTTTCAGAGACGTTTTTAAGAGGTCTTTTAGAAATTGTTCTACCTACGAATCTATCGTGATCGCGCGATAGCCTGACTTGTGTCATTTCGGGATGAACGGTGATTTTTCCAAGTGAATTGCGACTCCAAGTTAGTCCGAGTATTAAAGACAGTGTGATTACTTCGTAGTCATTTCATAATCTGTGATGGGGATAATGATGCCATTTCGCGAGGTGAGATGAAAGTTATGGGAACGGGCGTAGAACGTCGCCTCTTCTTCAGGTTCTACCAGTCTCCCGACCGAGCGCCCGTAGTCTTCTTCTAGCGCTTCATCGTTGTCTTCGGCGAACTTTACTTTCGTAAACTCTACCGCGTCCTCGATCATTTTCCTGCAAGTCATTCGCGTTCTCGTTTAATTTTAGCCATTGAAAGTCGCGCGATTCGCGACGGAACTCCATATCTCGATCGCCGAGATTCACTCCTTCGATAAGTTCTCGATCCAGACGAGCACAGCTCTCGCTCGACGTATTTCACGTGACTAATCGCCACGAGTTTCGTCGCGACGACTATTCGTAGACTACTATCTAGGTATCTAGGCTCGGAGTCCATTTATTTTTAGGAGGGCGTAACGTGAGGAGCAGCGGTTCGTCGTTCCGACCATCTTTTCGCTCATCTCGCCATCGCGTCGCGTCGCCCGTTGTTCCATCCGTCGTCGCGTCACGCTGCCGTCCAACACTTTGTCTAACGCGTCATTTGCTAGCGCGCACTCGCCTTGGCTCCTCTTCCTCGATCTCTCGCACGCCCGTGCGAATTACAACTGCGTGTGTCGCATCAATTCTGGGAGGTGCATTAATAGGCCGGATTTATCCCATTTCCTGCGACCTGTTCGCTCAAAGTGACAGCATGCGCTTTCTCTTGCGATATTAGTACGCGGCATCTTATTAATACACGACAAGTGTTTGGATTTATTGTTATTACATTACACGTGTCGACACAGTTCTTGAAATTTATTAGCTCGTCTTCTCTTTGGCATTTTTTTCTTGTTATATATTCGTTGCAATAAATATTTGATATTTATTGGCTGGCAGTTGCATCTGGAAACATCATCGTCATGATATTGTCATGATTAAATCTATATTCGGGTTACGACACTCGTGCAAACTGGAGCACAATAAATTATGTAGGAATAACGCATTTTTTCGCAAATACTAAAACGTTCAGGACAAGGCAGGATTATCGCGATATTAAAGTAATTAAGACATCCCGTAACACTCTTTTCTAATACGGCGATATTACAAACGATTATAAAATCGCATTGCCATTGGAAATGATCGGGAAACGTCTATTATTAATTTTGTCGTTGAGAAATATTGCAGTCGCGCGTTTATCCCAATTGTCACGAAATGATCTCGATAGAATCCACGGTTCCGCCTGTGTCGCGAATCTGGCGACGAAATCGAGTCGTCATCGCCGACGACGATTGCGCGAATAATTCTTGCCGCCGTGGTCGAGCTGTACAGTTCTCCCCACCGATTGCGACCGGTGAAAACCCCAGAATGCTCTCGACCGATTTAAAAATATCCCGCATACTGCGAGTTCCATGAGATTCGACGAATCCGGGGAAGATGGTTGGATGAGAGAGAGAGAGAGAGAGAGAGAGAGGGCGAAAAATATATAAATTGAAACACGCGTGCTACGGAGAAATCCAGAAAATTCCGATCACACTATCCGATCGATATTGAGTCGAGTTCCGTCGGCGGAGCCGACGTATTTTTGAGGTATATTTTTGAAGTGTTTCTGCGCGTGAGGCAGGCATGTGTAATTAAATGGCTCCATGAGATTATTAACTCGCGATCACGTTGAATGCTAATTTTTTTTGTTAGGTGAATCAAAAATTTAGTTTAAATGTGAGATACGAAGATGAGTTATTAATTTTCTCAATTTTCGATTATTTTTTATACCAAATATTTTAGGTTTATATATAGAGAAAAGGGTTTCTTTGGATTTAGTATACGTATTTGTTTTACTTGGTTTTGTTTAATATAAATAACTATATAATAATAATGATAATAATAATTTAATATCAAATATCATTTTGCTTGAATGAAGATATTGTTTTACTGGAAAAAATCATGTTATTTGATAAAAAAACAATATTATTTAGAAGAAATAATATTTTATTATTAATAACAAAAATTTATTTAACATATTAAATATTGTTCCACTGAAACGAAAGAAAGTTTTTTCATATTTTTCTGATATAGTGTTACTTCTTTAAAATAATTTATTATTTGTGATAACCATTGTAACGCTTGAATGTAAATATTTAAAAAATATGTTATTTGACATAAAGATATTGTTAGCAAAACTAAACAATCCTGTTTGTTTAATCAAACAATTTATTTGTTTGCTCTATTCCANACATTCGTTTGTTTGCTCTATTCCAAAAGATAAATTTGTTTCAATTAAAATTTTATTAAATCCAAAGAAATCTTTTCTTCTGTTTATCGATAGTCATTATTTGAAACTAGTCCTATGTCAGATATTTAGATTTGAATATAGAGTTAAATTTGAGTTTTTTATTTGAATTATATAATATATATGACATTATATTTGTAATCGCAATTTAGCTGAAAAACATTTAACTCTAAATTTAATTCTGAATATCTCACCCGAGGCATTTCAAATAATGACTATTAATACAATTCTTAGAGAAATAAGACATTTGACAGAGAATTAATTGAATTTTATTAAGATTTAATGAAGCCATTATACGATGGAACACGATGTTGCTCCATAATTTTATGATAGGGTCCATAAATAGATTTAATTAATTTTTGGGTTCTTCGAGGTTCACAACTTCCTGATTATTCTAAACATCTTGCAAATTTTCTAAAATTTTCTAGTAAAACAGCTGATTTTGTTCTAGTTGCGAAACGCTTATCTGAGTACATATACGTTGATGAGTTCGATGTCAAATTTAAACCAATTAATCACTATTCTTTTAATATTCACTTAATATATATTACCGTGATCGATATATGCTTTCTTGCATATATATTGGTGTATTTTTAGACGCATTGTCGGCCAAATGTCGACCCAGCGTTTCACCTGTTGATCATGAGACTCAATCGCGTTCAGTATGAAGTGACTAATATATTATTCTTGGCATTGTTTGTCATTGTCGACAGTGATTTGAGCCGATAGATTTGTCACACTTCTCCTTGCGCGCAATTAATCCGTGTCAATGATGCTTCTGATAAATACTCGAGAGATCGCTCACCGTTATTATTGAATCTTGAATCTTAATCGCGCTACAATGACCGTGAAGAGTACGGATTTTTTTCGCCACAGTCGTGTGACGTGTCATCGTATCGACGAACCGCTCAATTATCGAAGCTCGATGTGCCAATCGCCCGCTATATTGGAATCCCCCTCTCTCTCTCTTTCAGATCGGTAACCCCATTTCATCCACTCGACTGTGTCGTTCAAGGCTAATCTGGCTAACTAATAACAAAAGCCCGGCCTAGAAAACATCTCGTGTTCTTGACCCTCGCTTTGTTACAACATCGTGGAACAAGGTTATCTATAGTCGAATTTGTTTCAGGCTTAAACAATACCTGCCGGTGAGTTCTATTAGGAGGTCCCGAGTATTATTATGTTGTACTCATAAACACAAATTATTCGCCCGAGTATAGCCATAGCGGCATGTGGTGCAGCGCGTCATCGACGAAAGTTTCGCGAGCAGTTGCCTCACATCGCTACCGCGTTCGATACCCGTGTTTTGGAATTTGCCTCGATTTTTCGTCCTCGACCAGATATTCCGTTACTTATCCTAATCTTTTGTTATTTATTTATTTATTTGTACACGTTGTCGTGGGACGGACAGTCGGATTTTATATTCACAATGCATGGGTAATATATCACGTTGTTATTACGGGGACTCGCTAAG